CTTAGTTCGGGGCAGGTTGAGGTTTCCTGGCATTCCTTTGGTTTTCCCTTGTTAGCGGGAGCTTGCTGTAATGCGGTTGAAAGCACCTTGGCATGAACCTGGTCACTGCTTTAGTCTGCGGTTTTGGGTCCCGCGAGGATTTCATCTTTTGAGAGCCACTGGAAGATGGTGAATCTGGGAATCCCATTTTTATCGGTACTTAGGAGCATTCAGTCGTTTTTGGAAAAAGCAGGAAAAATGTTAGTGATTTATGGCCCAGCGGGTTTTGATATCGAAAGCGTGAAGTGGCGTCGAATTCCGGAACGTTAAATACAGCTGTGGAAACATTTCCGAATCACCTGTTCAGGTATCATTGTTCAGAAGGACCTTGTTTGTTTTTTTTCTGGACTAAAATATATCGCTAGCTTTGCGAAATGAACGAGCCGGATCTGGCCAGGGTAATGCGTGACTCTTGGCAGCCGTTCTCAGTAGTGATTGATTAGAAACGGATTCAAATGTGCAGCTGTTCTGGGAAATCGCTTAGACCTTTTGGCGATCGGTTCAAGAGTTCAAATGGGATCGGAAACCATTAAATTCGTTTATGGTCTCCGAGGTGGTTTTGTGGTTCAGCCCGATTTAATCGCAAGCGTTAGTGCCGACCTTGGCGGACATTCAGCTCACTAAACCGTAACTGCAGCACATAAAATGGTCTAAAAATTACCAGAACCCCTAGCGGAGGGACTTTAAATAAATGCAGTAGTTTAAATGACCCTGCCTACAGTAACCACATAAGAGGCTGGTGACGTTAGGCTACAGACAGATAGCTGTTCGCAACTACTGAAGGAAGAAGGGATTGAAGTTTGAAGCTACTTTGCTAAACCAACTTTCACGTTGGCATGCACTATTACCATCATATTCTTCTCTAGTCAAGGTCAGGCGCAGTTTGGCTTGGTGGGGGCACCGAATGTTTTCTGCTATACTTGTTAGAAAACCTGTGTGACCCATCAATTCCTGTGGCCGAAACGACTCACTCAGTCGAACAATTTCGCAGCTTCACAAGAGTTTACATGTCTGACCACAGTAAGACCTGTTAATTCACATGAACCAGCAAAACAAAGTAGCGAAAGTGCAAACGCCCACTCCAAGCCGAACATCCCTCAGGGTCATATGGTGCGATTTCCTTTTGTGGCGTTCCCTGCAGGAGTTTTTGTAGGATTTATATATGTGTATAGCGAATTTCAATCACAAAGCGAGATTGTTCGCGTGACGCTGGTTTCGGTAGGCTGCCAAAGTGATTGATGGGGGCGGTTTGCTTCGTTCCTTGTTCGAAAGAGAAGCGGCTATATTGCGAGACTAAAGACTGAGATTCATTGGGGTTTAGTGTGAGTGGTGTCGTCGAAAAACACCTGACGCCAGAAATTCGATTTCTCTGGTTTGCTTATAGCAAGCTGCTTGCTGGGTTTGTCGTTGGGACAATGAGCAAACGTCTCACTGTTAAGCTGGAGGCACCAAAACGCGCTTTTCATGGAGCACTAGGAACCAGAAGTAACACCGTAATCTTTTTTTTCCAGGGCAATGCGGCGGAAAGAGACGGAACGGCCTTGCTGTATATGTTAGGAAGTTTCATCCAAGAAAACAGTTGTTTCTCGCCTGCGCGGGCTGTAAAATTTCGTTCCAGCGCAAGCAGCTACCCAGCTAATTTTCACTGGCTGCTGCAATGTTGTTCTCCATCTGCTGTTACGCGGCTACAGTTTGTGCATATTGAAACGGACATTGTGAAGTTGTGGGTGGCCAGTAAGTTTGTAGTCACTATATTTTATTTCTGCCTCTTTTTTTTCTTTTTTTCATGAATTATACAAGAAAAGTTGAAGGAATATAAAAGTTCGCATGTTCAGAGGTGGATCGAACTGGATGACTGAGTGAACCCTTCTGTCAGAAATAAATCAACCACCAACTACAACGACTCAAGGTGGCTCCGGAAATTGTTCGAGAAATGGGTCTTGGTGGCGGCTATCAGGTGGTTATCCAGACACCGGAATACGTCGGGCAGAATATCCTGGATCGCGATCCGTTGCTGAAACATGTGGACACGATGAGAGAAATTGCTAATTTCAGCATCGAGATGCATAATGTGTGAGTTCTGATTTATTTTTAATCTTGTCTTTTTTTTCTATTTCATAATTTCCTTACTAGTTATCAGGATTTGTTGTAGTTCCATAAAAAGGTTTCTTAGAGTAGTATAGTTATAATTTCATGTTACTTCTACAGTAATGTTTGGGCGCAAGTCGACTAAGAGAGGAGGGTTCATTGAAGGCGGTGGGTACGATGGCTGGGGGCGGGCGGTTGCTGCAAGCGTCATTGGTGGAAGGGCTTAGTGGGATGAGGCCAAACGTCCTCTCACAGCCCTTCCACCAGTGACGGTACCGTGCTCACTGCCTTCAAAGATCTCACTGTGCAAAAGTGGGGTTGCTGGAGTGTATATACGGTAACGCTAATAGGGGGGGGGGGAGGGCATCCGCGGGATAGGTGAAAGAGTCTATTGTGCCAGAAAAAGGGTTTTCGCCACCAGGCATCCCGCTCGGCACTGTTTATCTTTCAATTCACTACGGCATCAAAATTACGGGTCGCGTTTCATCAAAATATTTCCCCAAGGTGAGCTTCCTGCCGGAGTGTGTGTTGCTTCTCCAAGCAGGGATATCAACCTGCTCAGCGCGGAACGCCTGATACATCTGCTACGGTATCCGCAACAGAGGCGCTTAAGACGGTGACACGTGGAACCAGTCATTATCTTCAAAATACTCGTGTTCAGATGTTCAGAATTTTTCCTCAACTGAAGTTTTGATCAGATTTACCGCTACGGATAACCTTTGATTGCAGTAAGGCGAAATTCGGAAGGTTTATTCAGTTAGAGGGTAGTAGATGGGTGTTGTCGAGTCCAGCAGATTCATCGCGTCACGTTTTTGCTTTGGACCGACGAAGGTGTAATGGCGGAAAATTTGCATTTTGATCACCAGGGAGTTGTTCCAGAGGGACGTTGCGACTGACTTTTTAGTGGTTGTATAGCAGATGAACAGCTGCTTCAATGGGGCATATTTTGAAACACCTTGAGAGGTATTTTGGTTTTATAGAAACAGATGAAAATGCACATTGCCATAGCAAGATGGGAATATTGTCAACATATGCCCAGTTTGCGAGAGGAGCCAAGTTGGGGTTATTGATAAAAGTCTATAATTTTGTATTAAAATGAAAAAATGTAAAAAATGAAAGAAAACTCAGCAGATCGAAGGTCATTGCTGACAATCTCGTGATAATGCGGCTGCAGTAATGAATGGGAGCAGCTCTGCACCCTGCAGGGTTTTTGCCCGTTCTAAAAGTGCACGTTGGCATGCTTCATGTAAAAGTGCACTTCGTACTGCATGGTTTTTTGAATGTGACGTTTTTCCGCTTTCACCCGGGTTTATCACTCTCTGATTCGCATTCCATGTAAATATCGTGCTCCAAGTTACAGCATTCTCAACAGGTCACTCGACAGAAGGAAGGGGGGGGGACTGGGGAACTGGATAGTGTCTGTCCTAGCAAATTTTCTTTTCACTGATGATTTTTTCCGTTTAAGCCCCTCCCCCCACTCCCTTAATCCCTAAATGCTCATTGCAGTTGGTCGATCCCTTTTGGAATGCGAAAGCTTTTTTGGGATTCTACCTCCATTCAAGATCGTAATGGCTAATTAACTGCGATGTGGCCTACACAATGACCTGCAGTGGCCAGCCGATATACAAGTCAGATACATATCCTCCCAGGAAACTCTGGTAGCAATTTACTGGTTCCAGAGAAAAGAAGGCTTGGTTGGCCCTTTCAGGAGCTGATCCGAGATTTGGCCTCTTTACCGTGCGCGTGGTGAGCTGCCATTGCCGCTACACCACCTCCACCTCTGGAACTATTACTTTGCAAAGATTCACACAGGATGCTATGCGCTGATCTTCAGTGTCCAAAAAGGAACTGATCATTTATCACTCGGTACAAAACCAGTGTAGGGAAAGCCCAAACGGTCCATTGAAGGGCAGCAAGAGGTGTGGCTGCGAGAGTGCCGAGAGTCCAGAGAACGAGTGGGAGAGGCGATTGCATAAGAGAAGAGATTCGGCAGAGGAATACGAGCCGTCACCGGAACGCCTCTTTTTACCCTCCGGTATGGGCGATACGTCTGTCAATGTGATGGGCATTTTCCGAGTTAGGGCATATCGGGGTGAAAGTCTACCGTGAAAGCAGTAATCTTGTACAGAAGCATCGGCTGCGGTGGAGTTATGAGACAAGTATCTTTATTTCAGTTCATGGTCGCTGTCTGACATCTGCTTCAAACCGGCTCCACCAGAGTTAGAAGGCCTCGCGGCTGAGATGTCTGACGTCATCGAGAGAATCGTTCCATGTATCTGGATAACACCAATCGACTGCTTCTGGGAAGGTGCCAAAGCACTAGGACCTCATCCACCAATTGAAACAAAGTGGGTTTATAGCTCTGAAATTGACAAATTCGTTTTCCCTGAAAACAAGTCGTGGTTGCAGGAATATAATCGAAGTGTATTCCAGAGATCTAGCACTTCTGGCGTGGTTGAAATCAATCCCAAATCGAAAATATATTCAGTGGACTGATTTCGATCCTATGGCCGTTATTGATGAGATTCACGATATGTTGAATCTTGGTTCACATCATACATTTTTCGAGCGAGTGAGTTACTCTTCAGTAGTCGGACTTGATCCTGGTCTGTATTTTTCTTTTTTTTTTGGAGTGTTTCTTTCTTAATAGGTCCATTTTACAGAAAATAGAGTACTCCTTGACATTACAGTCTTGTTCGCTGCGAATGCTGGGGCGTTCCAGGGGGTGGTTGTGGCTTGGCGGGAGCTCGTGCTCCCTCACTTGTGAAGGCTGATAGGTGACTATGTAGGATTTTTGAAAGCCCTTCACAATATTGACCCAAAATATTGCGTACATAGGGCTCCCTAAAAAAATGAACAAAGAAAAAATTCAAAAGTGAGATTTCGGGTGGGAAACAGAGTTGCTCATCGTGGAGGCGAATCCGTGTCTGTACATTCAATGACTTCTGTATACTGTTCAACGACATTATAAGTGTGTTTTCGTGGAAAATCAGCGCCACACCAAACTCAGCCCCTGGAACGTCCCAGCGAACAAGGCTATAACTGAGGCAGGGTTCATAGTTCGCGATTTCCTTGCCAATCGCGGAATCTGCGACTAGGATCGATACGTGTCTCTCTTGCGCTTAGTATATGACCGGTGGCACGATTCTGGGATTAGCCCAAAAGCGCTGCAGTCATCATTTTTGCCGGAATCGGTTCCTGGTGCTCCAGCGGTTATCGCTGAGTCCCAGGCGATGGACGGCGCATCTTGCTTCTATTCTACTAGTCTTTTAGGGGGATCTCATTCTGTTTTTCTGTTGTCTTCTTAGTCTTCAATCCTAGAGATCCCAATTGCGCTCCGTTTTTAGCTTGAAAATTCACGTATGGTTTTCAGGCCGGTGTTGGGCATGGTTACCTAGACAGACCGTGTATGAATCCACTGGATCCAGAATGCCCAAAGATGTCACCGAATTACTACGACGTCTGCCCGCTGATTGATCGCTTCCGTAGCTATGCAGAAAAGAATAACATCACATTGGAGGCAGACGACTTTTCTCATGACGTCTATGAATTCGATCTTTTTTCATTATTCAGTAAGTTATTCCACCTCGCCTTGGAGTTCGTGGCGCAATTCGGTTTGGTGGGGCAGCGAATGGTAATCAGTGAGGATTGTACAAGCCATCTTGTGAACGCCTGTGAATTACCGCAATCAGAGAGGTTCACATGTACTCGGGGCTTCATTTAACCTGTTAGTTAACGCGTACTAGCAAGAGAAACTGGCAAAAGGCAAAATGTCCCCTCCAAGCCGAAAAGTTCTGGATTCGTAGTTGCTCGGCACATCTATTCGTTCATTACCCTGAGCATATTCAAGATATGGGCAGTAGACGGCGAAAGAAGCGGGACACAGAGGCGATGGATGCCCTCCGAGTGAATGATACTGAGGATGCGTCATTACAACCGAGCAAACCTCTATCGGGCGCTGATGATTCAGTGGCTGAAGCTGCTGCGCAAGAGGAATTACAACGAAGGGAAAAAGCTAAGAAAGCGGCTGCTGAAGGTATATTGCCCTTTATAAAGAATGAAATTTTTTGAACGAAATAATTGTGAATTTATTAATGAATGATAAATGATGATGATTTAAGAATGTAAAGCTTATCGTGGGCCCATGATGCGATGGATGTTTGACAATCCAGACAAATGGTCGGAATTTCTAACCATGGTATGTTTCTTCAGTTTTTCACAATTTCAGTTATGCTTACGAAACTGCTGAAATTTTGCGTCGAACAGGGGGAGGCATGTTCGATCAACTGTCAGTCAACCTGGAGGGTATAGTGCGCATTCAATGTTAAAATTAAACAGTCAGAAAGATTTGCCAACCAAATAGGTCCTCAGCGTCCGAAAGCGAAGCCTCCCGCCTCTCCTTAAGGCAGTTGGCACGATGATTTGGTACTTGGCCTAAAATGCTAGCAGGCGCTATATAGTGGGGAAATGGCGAAAAAACGAGTGAAACGGTCAAAACCTGCGAAGAAAAGCCTGTTTCTTGATGAGTCAAAAAGCAATTTTGGACGAGTTTCCCGTAAGCATAGTGCCAACAAACGCTACGGTAGGTAGGGCTGCGCGCATGGTCTCACATATCCAAGCAGCACTGCAGCCATTTCATTCCCTCCCTTCGCTTCAACTTTTACTTAGCAAATGAAGCAATACGAGCATCAGGTACGGTCGTCCATTTGTGGGCGGGCGGGCGCGGTGGGCGTTCGGGTCGGTATGTTGTAGCTTGATAGGGCCTTATAAGGGCACCTTCTTGGAAAAGGCGCTACGCAGCACTTGCTCAACTTCGCGGGGTTCCATCCTGCCAGGCGTACTAAACCTGCTCAGTCTTTGCGATTTACCGTGCCAACTTCCTTTAAGGGCAGTACAAACTTCGATCTGGCTTTCGCCAAGGAAAATAAGCTTTCCTCTGTCCAGGGCCAGTGAAGTGGTGCCGGATTAGTTGGGAGCACAGGGTCTTTGAGGTCTTGCAGTGGCCGGCTCACCGAAATTCGCTGTATAGGTAAGAGTGTCGTCAAAATGCCATTGAGATCTTGAAAGGAGGAATATAGAGTGTAGCATCCAATAAGGGATCGCTGATTGAGGGAAGAATAATCCTTCGGGTTCAACCGAAGTCCTCATTCCAAGAGGCTCGCCGCCGTATTTTTTTCATTATTTCTTATAACATAAAACCTTCTCTTTATTCCCATTACTTACATACAGAACATTCTCTTTTTTTCCAGTAGGTAGGTCTTTACCGCTTTATCGGTTGTCATAGACGTATAATCTCGTGATCATGTCTTACTTGATATGATTTCAGTCGGAATATCCTCGTTTCCCCGATTACGCTCAAGTGATGTCGGGTGGATGTCCTGGATTCGCAGCAGGTGTTCTGCATTGGCCCGAAGATATGATCCTCGGCGGAGTAAAACGATCCGCGAAGGGAGCGACTATGGAGTCGGCTGATGCCTTACAAAGCGTGTTCTTGGTAGCCAGTCCAAACGACGTCTACCTCAGGTTCAAGCAAAAAGTGAGTAATGCACAAAGTATACTTGGAACAGTTGTAGGGGTTTTTCTCGATCACACGGTGTCTTTTTTGGAATCGCACTTTCGAAAGAGTCAGCGGTTGCTTCTCTCATCGTTAGTTTTGACTGGAAAAGCTCACTGAAAGAAGCTGCGCGATCAGGTCATTTATCGCTTCATAGAAGTAGCACAGCGCTGCGGTTCGATCGATTTTTTTTGAAATTCCTGATTCAATCGAATTTTCTGAAAAATTCCCTTCTATTATAGTAAGGGTGTAGTTCAGCAGGTCCTCTTTCGGGTGAAGGAGGCGGCTGCCGTGTCTCAGGTCAGCTACAGGGCACGTTGAGGAAGCCGAGCAAGGAGGGGGGGGGGGCAAGTAGGTGGCCGCTGAAGGGAGGAGTTTCCCCTCTCCTACTCCATGATCCTCGTCCTGCTCGATGGTAGTTTTTCCCGGGATTAATGAGTTTCCAAGAAAAAAAATTCCGGAAAAGTGGCAGGGAGATGGAGAAAATCTAGGAGGACGGTAGGAGGGTTGCGGTGTATGGGTCGTACTGCGGGGGAAATCCTAGAGATGGGTCGTATTTTCCAGAAGAGTGCCATCAACGGCAGGATGTGCCCTCATCAACCAGCTAGAAAATTCTCTACCAGTTTGTGCGAGATGCTGCGAATCGAATACACTGAGTACATCTCTAACACCAGAGCGTCGCCTTTGACTCTCGCGCGCTTTCTCTGTAGTTTTTTTCTGAAATTTCGCTGAAGTTAAAAATTCATTTGTTCCGAAAAGCTGCGTTTTCAGGGAAATCGTTTACCAGCAAAACTTGAGTTGGATCAGTCTAAATGGAATGAAAAAATGGCCGAAGAAGTGATCCAGCAGTGGCAGCGCAACTTCACCCGAATGCTCTACAAACATCGCGCCAACTTTGATGAAGAGGTTAGGTTTGATGGATTAGACAGCGCCTTTAGAGCCAACATTCCTTCTTAGAACAAATGGCAGGATTAGTTGGTTGTTGCCTTGCGAACTAGCTACTTCAGGAGACTTTCTCAGATTCATCAGTTTAAGGGTTTCGAGCGCCGTACAATACATCCGTTGGCGTCAACGTCTATTGCAGACATGTTGGAAGAGTTCTGCCAGTTCAATTACAAGATCATTTTCGTTGGATATGGCCTAATGGTGAGTTTCTCACAATCTCATGTCGAGAGCAAATGCGAAAATTGAGCGACTGTTCGGCTTGAGAGGGGCATCTTGCACGTCTGCCACTGCCTTTTGCTAGTTCATGTTCATGAACTGAACAGGTTACATTTTGGTGAGACCTGTAAACGCCTGTGGAGCTGCGAAGTGTTATATGTTAGCCACTATGGGTCACAGGAATCTACACGTCGTCACAAGGTGGCCTGCACAAGCTTTGCTAGTTACCATTTTGTGCCCCCTTCAAGCCCAACTGCGCTCGAAAATTGCTTAGTATTGCACATTACTCTTGAAGAAATCCAGGAAACTTATTTTTTTATCTCTGGAATTTGCGGTGCCTTTTTATAGCGTGACTCGTGCACATTGTGAGAATGTATGGACTAAAAGTTTTCTTTCTATTACATCCCAGCATGGGCGGATCGTGCATGGTTATGGTAGGGCTTCGCATGAAGTGACCCGGTTTCAGGGTGCTTCGTAGACCCAGAGAATCGGAGAAATTTTGCAGTAATGTGCAGCAGCTTGCAGGATAATGACGAGAATGCGTATGTGACCTTCACAAAGTGGTCGCTGCTCGTATAAAAACTTGACGATTCGTTTTAGCAGAGGTCATAGAACGGAGAAAGAAGTTGCCGGGTTTCAGGGAAGACCGGTTGTTGGCCGGGCGTTTTGCTTGCCCTCTGGGTTGCAAAGGTCTGCAAGTGTCGTAGGGGGACGTTAAGCGCGGTAGCATGGGACAGTTCGATTGGAATATAGATGTGCTAAATGGTCATACAGTACAGGTGTACTTTTCTCATGCAGTAGGAGGTTTGCTGAAACGGGACTGTTTTCCGACGTTGCGACTCAATCGTCATTACAAATGCCTGAAATGGCTCGAAGAATTCGCAGCCCATTCAGCCAAGATCACCACAAAGACAATTTGCAGTGAACTCGGAAGTTTCTGGGAACCCTAGGAGATGGTTACTTGCAATAGGTGCCGTCGAAGTTAGCTGATGCAAATAAGACACTTGCTCTTATGAAATGTGAAATGATTTTGGGTCAATCAATTAAAATCGTATTTTTCTTGGCCTACTTCGGCTTGAGGGGAAGGGGGGGGACTTTTATTAGCACGGTTCAGCTTGGGACGCGGCAGGTTTCTGTCCCCAATCGATCACTGCCGATGCCTCCTGTGGAGTCCTGTGAACTTTTGTAAAGCTATGCAGCGGGAGTTTTTAAACTTTACACGTTTACACTTGACGAGAGTTTACAAGTCTCACCATCGTGTGACGTGTCATGTCACAGGAACTACTGGAAGGATTTAGCAAAAGTGCAAAATGCCCCTCCAAGACGAACTTTACTCCTTTGAGAAAGTGTAGCATCTTCTTTTGTGCCCAGTTAAATTCAGCGAAGCCCAGTTGTTATACTGAAAGGTTCTCGTGTGTTGCCAAAAGTGTATCTGAAAAAATCTCGGTTTGAAAAACAGGAAAGCTGCTGTTGGCTTTTTTTTCTGGAGAACAGAAATTACTTGTCTCGTGCTAGGTCCGTCATTCTCAATTACGTTGTGCGCCATTAATCAGTCATGATGATCAACAAAGTCATTTGTCTGTTGTCGGCCGTATTGATGTTGTTACACCGCAACGATATGTCCAGTTCCGTAGTCGTGTGGCAGAGAAAACGGGGAAGGAGAAACAGTTTTGGTCAGATAATACATCATAGCGAGGGGTTTGTCAGCAAAGAGCTTTATTACTTGTATGAATTCCGGCCCAGTTCGGCTCATTGGAGGCATTTCGCTGACTCCGATAGATCACTGCCGATGTCTCCTTGCTTCTTTTTATGCTTTTTCCTTCTGTGCGAAAGCTGACTATAAAGCAGGGCACATCACTGGTTGGGGATTTTAGTTGAGTCCGTGCTACCCCTTCCCCCCCCTTTTTTTCCTAGGGTTATTACGACCCCCCCCCACCTCCGCCCATCTCCGGCCCTCTGTCTCTCCTCATCGAATCGTCAAATCGAGCCGTTGACGGGAGGGGGGAGGGATATACTACGCATGAAACAGGAAAATCACGAAAAGTCCACCACCACTCCTAGCTCTGGAGAAGGTCAAAAAGTATAATTAGCGACCCCCCCCCTCTTCCCGACAGTGAGCAACTAACTGAACTCACGCCGCCTTTACAACGTCCGTTGAGGACGGAAAAATCAACTATCAAATAAATTTTTCCCCAGCCGCAAATATGCCCCCTACCTCTCGTGCGAGGCCGATAATTCGACCCAGCTGTTGGTGCTCCAACAACGTCCTGCTATAGAATTATGAGTGCACCTCAAGGTGTAGATCACCACTATCTCAGACGATCTGCTCGAAGTGAAACACCATATCAACCAAATCCTGAGCGTTCGATGAAGGCTCAGCATCCGGAGCAGCTCATAAGCATTTCCCATTCAAAACAGATGGCCGTAGAGAAAGGGCATGGCTCCGAGATCGAAATCGCCTTGTTCGAATCGCCTTAGCCATCTGCTTCACTAGATTTTATCGCCGTGGAAGAACTTCCATTCTCACTAGTTCCTTCCATGTCTGCAAGAGTCGTTTAAGCTTTCTCCGTTAACGGCGAATGAGCATATATAAAGCATGCTGTTCAATAGGAATTTTTTTAAATTGCAACCAACGAGTCTGATAACTCAAAAGAGAATAGTGAAGGATAGAATGTATGAAGCGTTGATCAATCCCTTTGTGGGATGCGGCACGCATTCTACTTCCATTCAGAATCGTAGTGGCTTATTGAATGCGATGTGGCCTATACAATGACTTGCGGGGCCAGCCGATGTACAAGTCAGTGTTCTTATCCTCCCAGACGAATCTGGTACCAATTTACCGTCCGCAAGGTTCGAAGGCTTGTTTGGCCTGGGTAGAAGCCTAGCCAGAATTTGACCCTCCGACCGGCGCGTGGTAAGCGTGTCATTTGCCACGGAACGCGCCCCGCTCCAAGAAAATAATATAACAAACAATTTGGAAGATCAAGCAGAGCTTTGCGCAATCTATCCCCTCCCCACTCCAAGTGTCCTCCTCTGGTATCCCCTCCCCCACCCCTCCTTCCTCCGTCCCTTATCCTACCTACCATCTTCGCGGTGCCTATGCTACGCCTACGATGCTTCGGGCGATTTATAGCCCATTCGAAAATAGAAAATAAACGAGAATTTCAAAACCTCCTTCTGAAAAGAAAGGCCGAGCCCTTTTACAGCGACCAAACACTACCCCGCAATTTCGGTGGGGTCCCTAGCGCACGACGTGCCCTGCCTATAAATGCGGTAGGGGTCCAACTTGGATAGGTAACATAACCATTTCTATTGAAGGCGATCATTTGCACGTTTGTAGTTTCTTGGCTATAGATCCCTACTTATGGAGCGAGCTAACAGTGTAGTGATAAATTCACCTAGTAAACTACACAATTTTTGAAATGCCCGTGTGGAAAGCTATTAAGATGAGTTGGTAGTCCATTACTGAGTTCTCCTTTTCAGCTGGTTTACGCAATTTTCACGCAAATGAAGCGTGATGGATGCCTCCCTTCATCTCAGTCTTGTATGGGACTTGCCTTGGCTGGAGTGCTGACGGTGACATATGCCTCGATATCTGGACTGGGGCTAGCGACTTGGTTTGGTATTGAGTTCAATGCTGCCACTACACAGGTGAGTCATGCATTTTTTACAGATTGTGTAGGATCATTCCTTCCTACGGAATGTTCGTTGTTAGAATTTTCTCATTTTCTCAGTTGAGTTTTTCAGATTGTGCCATTCCTCACGCTTGGTATTGGTGTCGACAACATGTTCATGTTACTGCATAACTACCATGACGTGATGTCGCTGACAAATCAGCATGAAATTGGCATTCTTATGCGGGAAACTGGAATGTCGATATTGTGCACATCTATCAATAACATACTGTCCTTCCTTGCAGGTAATTTTCTTTTCTTAGAGGGAGCAGTCCGCGATTACCTGAGTATCTACAAAGATCCACTTGAAGTGAAGCCCAGAGGAAGAAGAGTACATGTGGGCTATAGCTGCAACAAGAAACGGCTTGAGAGGGACTCCATTAGGCCCTTTGCGCAAACCACGGTGAACTGCACCGTGGTCTGCGCGAAGAGCCTAATGGTGTCCCTCTGAAGCCGCCTTTGTGGAGGGGCAGGATTGAGTAGGGAGATTTTTCTGGTTACTGTCGATCAATGCTGAAGCATTATATGGATACTCGTGAACTATTGCAAGGCGTAACTATTGCATATGCAATAGCCTGAGTTTCATTCACACTGGGCAAGGCGAGAGGCGGACAAGAAAATCGTAATTTCTCGCGCTGTCGCGCACGGCGCACAGCGGCGGTGCGCGACAAACTCCCCATGCGTATCAGTTTGTCGATTAGAACAGCGAACTCATGCGAATACAAGTGGAGGAAGATCTCAGTCCAAATGAAAGCGATCTTTTCCATCCGTTTATATTCGGATTCAAACGGCCAGGCACGACAACTCGCTCTCGTACGCGGCATCGCTCGCCACGCCCAGCGTGGCATATCGTAATTGTCTTGCCACATACCCCGGCAAAACTGCACGTTTTATAAAAGAGTGACGTGTAAATTGACAGAAACTAGCAAAAGAAATTAGCAATATGCCCCCCCCCCCTAAGCCGAACAGCGCTCAGAGCATTTTTGTGCCCCAGAACCCATTCGATTCGCTGTGATACTGCGTCAAGTGGATGTAAGCTGAGATGTGCAATTCGCTGCGACAAGAGGGAAATGGTAAAGAACCTCTCTGGTGAAAAATGGCTTCCAGGAGATGTAGACTGCTATTTTCATGAATACCGACGATCGAGAACGCGCGACTACATATTTTCGCCGTATTTTATAGCGTCGAAATGATTGGTTCCTAATTAATGGGTTGCCGTTCTATGGCTTCCTGCGATTTTTCCTTGTGTAATTCGCTTAAAACCTTCATATTCGTAGCGTGAATCGCCACCACATACGAATAGTAAGGCCTGCTCAATTCGTGAACAGCTCTACTGTAGAATTATCTAAAGTCACCATTGGGGCTAAGCTGACCGATGAAACCAATTGGCTGGTCATACTGCTGAAGCATTTATTCAGTACTCCTGTGATTCATCCCTATTTGGCTTCTGCGAATATGCGTGTTTTACGTCTGGCCCATTGGTCCTGTGGATGTTTTAACACCACGTCCTCCAACATCTCTGATCAACAGTTTTAACGGGTTATAGCCCGCTGTACCACGAGAACTTTACCAGGGACTCTCTTTCGGCGGAATTCCAAGAAAAATATTGCGTACGTCTAGCGCTCATTAGTTCATGAAAGTAGTAAAAAAATTAGGAGCTGTATTTGGATTGTTGCTCAGTCCGAATAACTTGGTTGTTTTTGCAGGAACTATGCTGCCCATTCCGGCACTGCGATCGTTTTGTGCTCAGAGCTCGATACTGCTCACCTTCAACTTTATCGCCATTCTTACGCTGTACCCTGTAAGTGAAAATCCACTGTTTCAGATACTTGTCTAGTTTTTATGCTTTAGAAATATTTCCTGCTTCTAAAGCTTTCTTTTTTACATTTTTATATCTCTAGCAGAGAGCTGTACTATTCTCAACCAAACCATACTTCCAGGCTATAATTTCGATCGATCTGAGACGGCGAAAAGCTGGCATGCGTGATGTGTTCTGTTGCCTAACAGGGGAAACTCGACAAGAGGCGTATTCCATGATAACTAAGCCACACTTCCAGGTCAGTTAAATGCACCCTTTTGGCGCAGTTCGGCTTGGTGGGGGCATTCGGCCGCTTCACGTCTATCCTTGCCGATGCCTCCTATAGAGACCTGTAAATTCCAGTGAAGTCATGCAATAGCATGAGCTTCTTTAAACCACACTTCCAGGTCAGTTAAATATACCCTTTTGGCGCAGTTCGGCTTGGTGGGGGCATTCGGCTGGTTCACGTCTATCATTGCCGATGCCTGCTGTAGAGACCTGTGAGTCCAGTGAAGTCATGCAATAGCATTAGCTTCTTTCACACTTGACAACAAGAGTCTTCATGTCTCAGCAAGTGAGATGTGTAATTTAATAGGAACGAGGAAAAGAGCAAAATGCCCCCGCCCCCCACACCCCCCCCCCTCCAGGCGGAACAGCAGTCCCGTTTTTGATCAGGCACTTTCGATAGATTAATTGCTGTTATATTACTAGTTTTCTTTTGTATAGGAGAAGCGCACAATTGGTGAACCAATTCCGCGAATCGTTTCATACAAAGACGTGGAAGAAGAGCCCGAACCAGAGTCTTTCTCTCTCCATTCACTCATTCGGAACTACTATATTCCATTCATTAATAAGAAATTTGTAAAGGTACGTTTTTTTCGGAGTGTATATATATTGCTAGGAAAGCTTCCTAACTCTTGACAATTCTCGTAACCAGCTTATATGTTGCTGTGGGCTTGGAATGTATAACCACACGGACTTGTTCTACCCATTTGGCTTTACATGAAATCTAAATCCTCAAAAAAATGTTAAAAAAAACCCATGTGAAAATTAATAAA